AAAAAAAACGGTAGACAAACGAAATATAAAACTTAGCAGAGAAGGCTAAGTTTGAAGGAAGAGAATATTATCGTTGGTTTTTCTACTCTTTATGATAATTAATTAAGCATGCATTGCTTGATTATAGATTTGTTCCTTAATATCTTCTTAAACCTATTCTGTGAGATGTTAAACAGACAAAAAGGTATACTTCTTACTTTCGTGTAAATGAGAAATTTAGGAAATTATTAAAAAAATATATTAGCATTTAGGATTCAAATCCAGCCGTACCACTGGAAAAGAAAGGACCGATGATGAAGGAGAAGGTAACGAAGCATGTTACCTGTACAATAACAACAGCATACTTTTTACTTCTGATTGCGATTATTTCAATCGTATTATCATCTTTTATAACCTATTGGGTAACAAAACAAGCATATGATCGGTCGCTTGAAATAAGGCCCTCCGTCGATGCTCAACAAATAATGTAAATACCGTTAAATTCTTTGTCGAACTTTTGAATTAAAATAGCACATAAACGGAAATTAATTAGTTGAAACTTCTGGATAGTGATAATTTTGGAAGTTGTAATTTTCAAATTATCATAATCGATACAAAAATAATATTTGCATTGAATTTTTTAAAATCGATTATTCACATATGTTTTCTTAATGTTTCCGGTTTCTTTTTTAATCTATTCTTTATCGTTTTCTATCTTATAAATCATTTTCTTCCAAAATTTAAATATCTCCATCGGAGAGAAAGAACATTTTACATAATAGCATAAAATGTATTTATTAAAAAAAAAGCGTTCGCTAATTTTTTATATTTTTAATCAAATATAATCATATTTAGCGCAAATGTATCAGTGGATGAGTCACCAACAGAAGAAGAATTCATTGGTCCTACCGCAGCTGAATTACGTATACCAAAAGATATTTTACCCATATGGTTTGTATTTTTCGGACGAAATTGTACGTCTGATAAGAATAGCCTTAACTGATACTGAGCCTTACCCTAATAGTAACCTTCGGACAAGGGCGGTCTGAAGTTTTTATTAACAGGGCGTTGTTTTCGTTGATTTTCATAGAAATATCTTATTTAATTCAAATTATTCATTTATATAAAATTCATTTATGAAATATTGTAAAAAAAATGAAAAAAACGCCTGACCAACTTTAGCAAATATCCAAGGTTTTTATTTATGAATGAATGAGTGTATCACATAATTAAAGATTGTAACATATGATTTCATAATTTTACAGGTATAATTTGACGATTAAAACGTACTTACCCGGTTATGTGGACATTCCAGAAAGTAAGAATATGACGTTTGATGCTGCATTGATTATTAAATTTTGGGTTGATGAAGAGACGGATAAAATTGTCCTCAACTCTTTAAAATTGAATTTTCCTAATAATATGGAGGAAATCAAAATTTTGCAGGATAAAGTTATCGAAACCGAGCAGGTTACTTCACTAAATTTTAACTTCAATTTTTTTTTTTACTTTAAAAATTGGTCATTATTAGAAATAGTAAAGTTGCTGCTGATGTTCAGGTTTTACATTAATCTTAGAATAAATACTCTTAATTTTTTGTGTTTGTTTTCGAATTTCGGGAAGCAATTAAGCTCCATCTTGAATTGTCACATTTCCCGAGGTTTTCATAGCTTTAACAATCTTTAACGCTTTTGTGACATAAATCACTCCTTTTTATCAATTGTTGGACTGTTTCACTTAATTATTCTGCTTTTAATTCTTCTCTGAAAAAAAATTATGCTATCACTTTAAATAATTATAGCTCAATTGGACATACAAATAAGAAATATTTAATAAAAAAAAGAAAATTTTCAGTTTTCAAGAGCACGACGAAGTTTGGAAAACACAAGTTTTGACGAGTATAGCACCACTGTATGTACTTGCTTTGTTGAAGTGTAGAAATTTTATTTTATTGCATGCTTCACTTGAAAAAAATGGATAGTTTGAACTTTTTTTTGTATTTTATGAATTTTTTCTTTGACGAGTTTTTATTTTTTGATTATGTTTGCGGTGTATTTTCTTCATGTGTAGATGCCTAAGGTTCGTGTTTAGGCTCAGGGATTACTATTTTAGACCCGAACAACTGAAGCAGAAGAAGTGGAAGATACAATGGGAATGGCAGAGAATGAAACAGAAAGTTCTACGTTTGCATCAACTATGAATTTAGAAGATCCGGAAATGGAAAACACGACCACGGAGCAACGACCGAAAAATACTAAAGTTGCTGCTGATGTTCAGGTTTTGAGTTACATTATTCTTAAAATAAATATTATTGAATTTCATAAAAGTTTCATTTTTTTTAAATATTTCTGTCCAAAATTTAAGTGATAGTTGCAAATTTGAATATTCAGGTGAAGGAAATTGTTGTCAATGAAACACTAGAAATGGTAACACTGTTCCTTGATGGAAAGTTAGAGAGAGGTCAAGAGTATTACTTACAGGTATTATTCGAGAACTTTTAATCTTGAACTTGTTAAATTCAACAATACTTGTCTTCCTGATATAAATGTACAATTTCAGATAGCCTATTCAGGTCCAATTCATATGAAACTTGCTGGTTTATATCTGAGTCGATATCAGAATGATCAGGATACGACGAGGTTGAATTTCATGATTTGAATGCATATACTAGTAATATATAATGAATTTATCAATCTTTTTTCTTACTTTCAGGTATCTAGCAGTAACACAAATGGAGCCAACAGATGCTCGCCGTATGGTACCATGTTTTGATGAGCCAGAATTTAAAGCAATTTGGAAGATCAAAGCTATTCATCCGAGCGGCACTTCTGCTGTATCCAATGGAATCGAAATCAAAAATGCTGAAAAAACGTAAAGTTTTTTTTACATCATAATATAAATATATTGGAAAACTAGAAATGGAAATGATTCGAAATATTCCTTTGGTTTTGATCGACTTATACGGATTGTTGTTTTCTTACAATCTTCCTGTATTCGCAGGTTATTTAAATAGAATGAAACAATTAAGCGAAAAGAATTCATTAATTTTTTGTAAACCAAAGGTTGAAACATTTGTAGTTGAGATTTAGAATGTTAAATTTTTTTAAGATAAAGTAAGATGAAAGGATCAATTGAATGAACATTTATTAGCAGTTAGAGAAATCAAAAGAACGGATATATATGACTTTTATTCGAAATGGGTTAATTAGGAATCCAATTATTCTGATTGTACTTTCAAATGCAAAAATTTTACAATGATGAAATGAGATATACAACTTAGAATAGATCCATTATAACAATTATTTCCAAATTTTCAGTTGCAAAAGTTACAGATTTTTTACTAATTAATAAACATAATATTCAAAGAGCCGCATTATTGTCATAATGACAGTATAATAATAATGACAATATAATAATAAAAATAAAACATGAAATATATTTTTGAAGGGAGGATCCGGATTGGGTAGTTACCTCATTCATCGAGTCACCACCTATGTCATCTTATCTGCTAGCCCTAGCTGTTACCGATTTTCATTTCACTGAAGGGACAACAACCATGGGAACAAGGGTATGTGTCATTTACTATCGTAATTTACTACCTTATTTTGTTCGCCGTGATTTATCATTGATATAACAATACCATATGTTTTACAAAAACTGATCATTCGGTCGTTAATTATTTTTAGAACTATCGAAATAATTTTTCAGCTATGTATATCTTACACTTGATTTTCTATATTTCATTTAGAAATTCTCTTAATCCAATTTTGAAGAAAGAATCAAAGTATCTTTTATGGAAAACTGTATCTTTCAGCGGTTAATGTTTCATTCTGAATTTTACATTAATATTTTTTTTTAGTTCCGAATTTGGTCTCGCGAAGAAGCTATAAATCAGACAAGTTATGCTCTTAGAGCAGGAATTTCAGCTTTAGAATTTTACGAAGAATATTATAATATTTCTTTTCCACTTAAAAAGCAAGGTGATTCATTTCCTTGTAAAATGTTTTCTCATGTCAGCATTAATAGAAATTCCTGTATAGTTTGAAGGATGTATTTCGACTTTCGACATTTTTGTGGTTTTTTTCAATAAATTCATTTTGAATAAAATTAGAATGAAAATCAAAATATGTAATATAAATCTGAAGGTTTTAAAGTCCGCTTCTCCCTCTTTCTTTTTTATATTATTGGCATTGTTCTATTCCTATCTAATTGAAGTGACATAAAAGTTATTTTCACAGATATGATGGCTCTACCAGATTTTGCTGCTGGAGCAATGGAAAATTGGGGTTTAATAACTTATCGTGAGAAATTTCTACTTTATGATGAAAGAATCTATGCGCCATCTCAGAAAGTTTATGTCGCCTTGGTTGTCTGTCATGAATTAGCTCATCAGGTTTGTCTTGCAAGATAACGTTATCAAATCAAACTGGTAATTTAGTAATTTCAGCCACTATAATGCATGAAAATAATAGATAAATTAATTAAGAATTCAGTGCCGTTGATTAGTTAGTTAATTAAAAATGGGAAATAGGGAAATAGGTCATATGAAACAAATAAATTTAAGAATGAGATCCGAAAAGCATTTGAAAAGTCTTACTCTTTTTCAGGATTTAATTAAATTTGGTAAATTTCGTTTTTTAATATTTTGATGTAGCGTGTTGTTCTATTAATGCTGGCTTTTGTAGTGGTTTGGTAATTTGGTGACAATGAAATGGTGGAATGATTTATGGTTAAACGAAGGCTTTGCAACTTTTATGGAATATCTGGGCGCTGATGCAATCAGTAAAGGCAGTTTCCGCATGGTTTGCAAATCTCATGCTCTTTTTCTGAGGATGAGAGATTGCTCAGTTATCTTATTATGAATGAGATCCGGATCTGTTATCTGTTGCTGGAAAAAATGAACTTGCGTTATTTTATTTAAATGGAAAAATTATTCATTTATATTTGTTAATTAATCATTAGTAACTATTATCATTCATCGCTGTTAATGACAATCACTTGCGCTTAATGGTCATTTGCGTTCCAAATCTTTATTGAACAAATTTGTCATATTTAAGATTGATTATTTCTTGCAAGATGCCGTGAAACAAGCATATCGACGTGATGGGCAAGCCACTTCTCATCCCTTATCATTCCCAATTGATAAAGCTGAAGATGTGAGTGAGGCATTCGATGCCATCACATATGACAAGGTTATTTCTGCGCCTGAAGAGGATTTTAAAATTTCAATTTCTCTCAATATCGCATGCTAAATAACATACAAAATTAATTTCAGGGTTCCGCAATAATATTCATGATTCAACATGTAATGGGATCTGAAAACTTCAAAAAAGGATTACATGTCAGTTGATTGATGCAATACTCTGTTAGCTTAATGAAATCTCTTGCCTTAAAATTTGAGCCAAGAAGATACAAGTTCAATCTATGATTCCGCTTGCCGACCATATTTATAAAATTTTTTAATTCGCTTTGGAAAAACAGAAATTTCTAATTTTTGAAACAATCTCTAAAGTTTCCCATTGATAAAGTTATTTAGTATATATCAATCTCAATCAGATATTATTATGCACTAATCAGATATTAACCTATGGATTATTTTAATTCTTTTTTGATAATAAAATATGAAAATACAGTTGCAAAAAAAACTTTTAGAATTACTTAGAGAGCCATAAGTATCGCAATGCAGATCATGATGATTTATGGAACGCTCTTAATGAAGCAGTTCCGGATACATTGTTATCATGGGAAGGTGATAAACTTGACATACGAGATTTCGCATCCAAATGGACTCAACAGGTATTCTTGATTATCACAAATTAACAGAATTAATGTAAATTATATTATATTAGTGAAATAGTTGATTATTTATTGTCTCTGTGATGAAATGAGTAAAGTAAATTAAGCCCTGTTAATAATTAAGATTATTAGAGATATTAAATAATAATGCTAAAATAACAAATACTTAAGTTCAGAATGAATAAAATAAATGCTAAATGATATAGATAGACATGTTAAACATAATATTTTTATTCATCAGATGGGTTATCCAGTGGTTGAAGTACGTCGGATTGATGACAAAAAGGTTGAGCTGCGTCAAAAACGTTTCAAATGGGATGAAAATGCGCTTGAGCGTGAGAAATTTCGCAATGCTAGGTTTTGGTTAGTCATTTCAAAATGTAAATTAGCGACCTTTTTTTTAAAGAGAAAAAGTCTAAAATATGAATATAAAAATTGTTTTAATTTCTTTTGGCTCTTAATTGCATTAACTTTTTGTGTATTTTGCAGGTATAAATATGATATACCGATATGGTATGCGGTAAATGGAGAAGAAATGCCAATGACTTGGTTGCATGAATGTAATTGTTTCATTAGAATTTTATTAAATTAGATGAAACTTCCTAAATATTGATTTAATCGAGAATACCATACTGAATACGGTATACATTCTTGGTGTTTACAGAAGTGTACTCCGATTAACTCTTCTCATTGGCCTTCCAAAATCTTTTTTTTTTGACCATTGTGTTTAATTTATTCGATAGTTAAGCTATCTGTGACTTATCAATGGTTTGATTGATTTTAATGCTTGATTTTAATGGGACAGCGTAAGACATCTATTCCATCAGGTTTTGAAAGTGTCCATAGTTGTTCTCATTTTTGCATTATATATGATTATTAGATCGATGAATTTTGGATAATGATTACAAATTTTGCTAGAAATTTATAATTCAGAAAATAGTGTTTCTTTGGAACTTAATTCTTGTATTTAAAATCAAGAAGAATTATGTAGTATGATAATGTTTTTATAGATCGAAATTTTTGAATTTACGTCTCAACTTTTACTTTTCCGAAATTTATTAAATTTAGCACAAGGCTTGGATGTGAACGAAGAAGATTTTCTGGTCTTAAATTCTGGTTCAAAAGGTTTTTACCGTGTCAACTATAATCTGGAATTATGGCTAAAAATAACCGATCAGCTGTTGAAAGATCCTACGGTGAGATTTTTATAGTCTTAGGAGGAGACTAGAAATTTATTAATAATAGATCACTCTCTTAGAATACTTTCAGATATTAAATTCTGATTGTGAGAAATTTCGTATCAGAATTTTATATATTTCAAAAAATTGATATCCTCCACTTTCAGAAAATTGATGTTCGCACTCGTGCTCGAATCATCGATGATGCTTTTGCTCTTGCGGAAGCTAACTACATTTCATATGAAATTCCATTAAATCTAACGCAATATTTGCCAATGGAAGAGGAATTTCTTCCATGGAGAATGGCTTTAAATGGTATTGGTACTATTTTGGAAAATTTTAATGATGAGCCTGAGACTCAACATGTTAGAGTAAGTATTTTAGTATATTCAGTAATTAGAGTTAATGCTTATTTAATTATCACTGTGAAATGCTGCTATTTATTAAGCTTTTCCACATCTCTTCGTTTCCTAAGATTTACGCTCAGTCATTTATCACATTATCGTTCATAATTGAATGAACTATTTATAAGTTTGTGTGCTATTAAGTATTATTTAGGAGAATTATTTTTTTGAACTTAAGCTAAATATTATTCAATTAAGGATTACTTGGAACCGTTGCTTCTTCCATTATACAATCGCATCGATTGGGAAATTTTGGAAACATCCTATTTGGATGACGAACTTTTCTTCGAAAAGTGTTTTTTTTTTCATAATTTTTATGATCATTTTATTTTTTAATTTGCTAAATCGTTGCAAAATTTTATTTAAGATAACATTTCAAAATTCATTCCAGTGAGCTGCGCTATGCGATCATTCGGCAAATGTATCATCTGCGCAATATAAATTGTACGGAAAAACTATATGATATATTTCTTAAAAACTTTTTGGATCAATGTCAAGATGAAAATACTCCAAGCAGTGAATGCAGCACGTTTGTTTACTGCATTCTCACCAAATTATTTCATTAAAAAAAACTTTTAATTAACTTTCAGACCTTAGTTTAAGTTGCGCTAAAACTAATAAACTCGTCTTTTTGTCTTTTTTCTTCACAAAAATTCTCAGTAATAACTATCGCTCAAGCAATCATTAAAGTGTGAAGTTCTAATCGATGGTGCAACAGTCTCATTTTGTTTTGATGGAAATGAAATAATTTCTTAAATTATTAGTATTCACTCCTAAGATCATACCTTAGTTTCAGATGAACAAAATTAAATTAAATTTCAATAATAAAGCAGATTCTCTCGTAACTTTTCATTTACAGAGTGCCAGTGCCAATTCGACCTCAAGTCTACTGTGAAGGTGTCCGAGTAAGTGCGGAGAAAATATGGAACAAAGTATTTGAACTTTATAGACGTGAACAAGTTCAAGTGGAACGGGAGCGTTTGCTTGGAGCTCTCACTTGTTCACGTGATTCATTCACTCTCAAAAAGTTCTTTTTTCATTATAATTCATAAAATTTAACAATTGATTCATAATAAATGCTGAAGTTATGAAGATATTCTATAACTTTTCAAAACAAGATTGAACTCGGATTGAAGAAAAGCGAAAATCTGAACTGAGTCATTTTCCATTTCTAATATCTCTAACTTTGAAAATTAAAATTGCCATCTATATAAATTCATTTATAGACTTCTGAAACTGGCATCTAATTTGAACGATTCATCGATTCGACTACAGGATACGCCGAGCACATTTGGAAATGTAGGTGCTGGAGATGTCGGCCGTTTGATCATCTTCGATTATTTCCAGGACAGCTGGTCTCAACTCCATTCAGAGTAAAATTACTATTTAATCATTAATGGATAATTATTATTACTTCTTTATTTTCCAGAAAAATTTAATACTTTTCGAATAAAAAAGTCAAATTACAATTTATATCCAATTGCGAAGATTTCAGTATGAAAGAACAACAGACTTTCTTACGAAAAATCATATTAACCTCAACATCAGTATTAAATGAAAGGCAAATTACACAGGTTTGTGAATAACTTTTTGATTTCCACAGCTATTCTTTAGCTTTTTTTATTTTTATTTTTTCGTTTGAAAGAGAATTTAAATTATTTTAATTTTTTCTCTTTCTTAACAGTTAGGCTTTCAAAAACTAAAATATTCTTATATTGTTACAGCTTGAAGCTTTTATAAAGAAGTACAGGAAAGATACGAGTAAGTTGGATGTATTTGGGCAACAACTGGAAAAGGGCAGAACTGCAAAGGTCATTTCATAATTATATTAATCATAAGCTTAATTTTTTATAAGTTCATTGATTTTAAATTACTCTAAATGAAGTATCAGGAAAATTATCAATTTAATCTTACTCCTATTATTCATCTAATAATTTTCAGCTATGGCGTGACCGAAATCTGAAGATGCTTGCGGAATGGTTTAGGAATCAGAATATGAAAAGCGCACAATAACTATTCTTAGACAGCTATTCATCCTAATCTAGGCATTAACCTATAGTATGTCCTGTGTTTGAATATTGTTATTGTTGCAATCGATTAAGTCTCACTTAATGTTTAGCTTCATTGAAGCATTCCCTTAATGATCAAAAATATTTGTAAGTTTGAAAATTTTTAAGGAAGTTTTAGAAATTTTCAAAAATTAATTCTTAAAGATATAAGTGGTCCAAGTTTTTTTCTTTTCCAATATTGAATTCCGTTTTTGAGATCATTGTACATAAAAACTTTTTTTTGGACCTCAAATATATTCAAAAGTTGTAAATTTCAATTCGCTTCACTTCATTCTATGCTGTGTTGCTCTTCTATCCAAGTGTTTTCTTGATTATAAAAGTGTCTTATATTTTGAAAAAAATAGCTGTTTGATTTACAATAGTTGTTTTATATGATATTTTCGCAATAAGATATTCTTTCACACAACGATAAATTTCGAATTTCACATCGTCATCTCATCTTACTGAATGCGAATCAAATTTGAAACTGATAAAAATGATTTACTAAGTTATGAAAATTAAACTTCAATTTACTTTTTGATGCTTATTTTTTTAAAAATACTTTTATATTAGCAGAGAAAAAGCTTATGAAAGGATTTAGAAAGTGAAAATTCAAGTTTGAAACTCTTTTTTGCGATAAGAAACAATTTTCCATTAAAAATAATTGAATTATTTCCGAATTTCTGATTAGTAATTAAGAGATGTTAATAAAATATCATTTGGAATATATTCAAAATAAATTGTTGCAAACTTTGCGAAAAATTGATCCGACGCGTTCAATTATAAATTCGGTATCTGATAAGCTGTCCATTTCTTAATGAATTATTTACTTTTATGAAAATTCAATTAGCATGTAAATAACTAAAATAATTCATTATGGAAACTCTATGTTCGGATAATTTGATAGCTGCGGTGCTTCAGGGCACATAAGTACCAAATTGTTTCAGCTTTTTACGATGCTCAGAGGTGTATGGGCCATGTTTGTGCTTGACCAACCAGAAACTATCTTCCGCTTCGTCCTGCAACAGTTATTTTGTAATATAATCACTTACAGTGCTAGAAAATTATTGCAATAATCTTTTATTATTCAACAAAAATCATCATCAACTAATGAAAAAATTGTAAACCTTTGATGCGGATACTTGTTCGAAGTAGAGATGAGTTCCATTAAATATATGAAGTCGACCAAAACCATAGTTTGACGAACGAAATGCACTCCAAGGTGGTGGCTGAGAAACAAATGGATCGGTATATTCTTGACATCCCTGAAATGAACATTATACTTATTACAGTACAAAAGAGAAACGAGTATCGATTCAAATGCTCTTTTGCAATTCTTTTGAAGTTCAAAAATTTTTTCGGTAGGATTTTTTTCTTTTGCTGGAATGAAAAATAAATGTCACTTAAAACTCTTAAAGCGTTTTTTAAATATGAAAATATTTACAGCAGATCCTGAAACGATATGTACCGGTGCTGGCGGATCAATATATGGCTCCTTGGTACCGTTATAAACCTGAATTCAAATAATCAAATAGCGTTCATTTAATTTTTTTCTTACCTGAAATCTTTCAGATTTTTCTCACCTGAAAAACCATTCATTTCGACTTTTTTGATATTATTCAATATGATTGAAAAAATATGATTTATATATTTCTATAAAAGTTAAATGAATGCTTGAAACAATATATTATGTCACATTTTTTTAATATTTCATATCGAAAAATTTAGAGAGTTTGAAAAACGTTAAAAAAAACTATTTGCTTTGCTTACAGTACGATTGTATAATGGCCACATGCGCTCATAAGAATGTTCGTGTGCCCAAATTTCTAAGTCAACTCCATATGTATAAAACAGTTTTTCTAATCCATAACGGTGTGTTCCTGGCATACCCGAACGAATCTAAATTTAACCTTGATTTGCAATAAAAAACGAAAACAATGTTTAAATCGAATATCAAAAATTGAAAAATTCTGCAATTTCCGCTAAAATTCGAAAACATAAATTCATTAGATAGTGTTTTTTTAATTAATATTTCATTGTTTCGCTTAATGTCATTACTGTTTTCATAAGCAATTGAAAATGAAATGACCCACTCGTGATTCATATCTGGTACAATCATCGAAATCGTAATTCGAGCAATACATCGGTCGATGTCCCATTGTTATGATCCACGGATATTTGTCACGGTTTGCGGATGCTCGCTTAAAATCGGAACGAATAATAACTTTTAAAAATTCCATAGAACATTCTTTTCATAGCATCATCTGCGTTTTTCCTTCAACTCAAAATTGTTGATAACTTTATCCTAATTGATAATATTCACCTTCAAATCATCATTAAGCCATTTCCATTGGTTCGCTATTTGTATGGAGCCATACTCAGTGAAATAATAAAATTCAGTGGATATAGCGATGAAATGAGCTGCACCAAGGTCAAAACTGCAAAAGCAAAACGCTCATGAAAGGTCAAATTTATTGCTATGTGTATTTAAGCAACTAAAAAATCTCATACTTCAGCAATCAAATTATTTCTTAAACTGTGCACAAATAATTTAATTAATCGAAGTAAATAAAGCATTTTTTTGTTGCACATTCAGTTTTTTTCATATAATTCCTACACAATCAATCCTCAAGGTCTGAATAATTTAAGATAAGCTGCTTTTTAAATTAACGTCTATGAATCAATAAAGCAGAAAGGAAAAATTCACAAATGAATTGAAATGAATAAATTTTTTCTTTTTACGTGTTATTATAATCAGAATTGCTACTAATAAATTATCACTCCACTGATATTATGATGAAATAAAGGCTTAAAATCTTTTTAGTATGCAAAATGAAAATTTCCACTACCTATAAAAAAAGTTGTGTTCACTGTTCGGCATCGTATATCGGTTGACATAATGAGAGAAGTTATAAGCCTGTTCATGATTACCGACAACCATCATGTATGGTACATAAGCTGCTATCGGTTCAATTTGTCTACCAAATTGATCACCAAATTGTCCTTCATCCTGACAAAAATCATTTTCCATATACGCAGTTTTGTCCAATCATTATTATACTTTACTTTTCAATCTGTATATTTTATGTTTTAAAAAATTTTAATCTTTTTTTTGTGAAACAATCAAACATTTCATTTGCATTGTAAGAAGGATGATGAAACTTACAGTATCCAAGTTGTATGCCATGTCACCTAAACAATAATATATGAATTGTATTATTAAGAAAAGTATGATCACATGTTTTACTTTTTTAAAGAAAAAAGCTTAAATTGTTATTTATTGCTAATTTACTCATTTAGTTATGTATTTATTTCCATATATACTCGAAACAGACAAATAAGTTTTAGATAAAATAACATCAAAATGCTTACTTTTGCTTATTAAAAAATATAAAATTACTTACAAGAAGCATAAATCAAAAAAGAAAAAAATAGAACAATATTGACCAACGTGTAAAACAGCATCAATAAGTGATCGCTGTGCTTGTTGTTGTATCTTTCCAAGTGATCGAGCATTTACAACACCGAGATCTCCATAAACTGCATAAACGTATCCATGATTTGTTAACTGTTGCATGGCTTTGAACCGATAAAGTGAACTCCAACCATATTCCGACCCAACATGATACTCTGAACATCTTTTTCTGAAGACATTGGAAAGTAAAACGATAATACTTTTACGTAATTCACGACATTTTTAATTTGATACTTTTAATTTTTACTGGACAAAAATTCTCCATTCATTTAAATCCGAGGTGCTCTTGCTTGTTAAGTAATTCATGAAAATGCTAGAAGAATCCATACAATGCAATGCGAATTTCGTTTTAATTTAATTTTAAACATACGATAAACAGTTCCAGGTATCAGATCGGTGAGCAGAATTCGATGTATGTATCGTTTACTCCTTTGTTTGCCACCATCAATGAATAGTATTGAATTGCCTTTAGCAAACCATCGTAAATCATTGATGCCGTATTCCACAACTGATGAAAATGTATCGTTATAAGTAAGCCAAGTTATCCACATTGATGACACATTACCTAGAAAGTATAGATTAAATCAAACTTCAAAAAAAGGAAAGAAAAATTTAAAATGTCTGATCCAGCAAACTTTTTTTATTAATGATTATCAAAATTATATCGCGATAATATTATGAGCTTGAACAAGACGGAATTTTCATTTTCCAGAATTTAACTTTTTTTTTTGCTTTGATAGTTTTTATCTTTTCATTCTATTTTTTTTGCGTATCCATAAACTGAAAAATATTTGTAGAAAAATCTTTTATTTCAATTTATTTTCACCCCATTTAATAATCAAAAACTCATCATTTAATTGAATTTTACTCGATTTCATTTATCTGCTATCTAATTGGTCAGATTATTGTTATCTTTAATTTATCCAGAAATTCATCGTGTGCGGAAATTATCCGTCCTGCAGATAGAAAAGAGTTATGATTGCAGAAAACAACAGAAAAAACTGAAAGGATGAAAGTGCAAGAAAGTTCATCAAATTTTCTCGAAAGCATTAACTTTCCTATTGTTACAGTTATGATATGAATGTTGAGAAAGCCAATAATTTTTTTAATAATTTACTAAAATCATATAAAATGACTAAAAACAAAAAATTCAACTAAAATTGTTCAATTACAGTCAGTATGAGATCAGGACAATTTCTAATAAACCAAATAACTTCTGAAATAATGATGATTTTCATGCTTTTAACATGTTGTAGTCACCATTTTATAAAAACTCTTAGAAATGATGACCGATCTCAGCTTCACGTTAATCTCATATTTGGTCCAGCAGATTTTTTAACTAATCTAACAAAAAAAGATCAGACGTTAATCAACTTTTATTTTTGAATGTTATACCATAAATTTGTTTACGAAATTGATAAATTGTTAAAATTAATAAATTTAATAAAGATATACCTCCATAGCTAAGAGCAATCTGTTCCGGTTGCGCATAATAAGGACCTTGATTGGAACTGCGAATGATTTCTTGATCGGTAGCACGAAATGATTTTAATAAATTTTTTCCGCACAAAATTTGATAAGCGGAAAAAAGTACGAGAAAGAGGAGAAGCATTGAGGAGAGCATATCATTGAAGAATGGGCCAAGTGAGAAATAAAAATTGTTGATCAGCTCGATGTAGCTGACAAATGCTGTTCCAATGATCGAAACTATAGTTAGATTGGCAAGGATAATTAGTTAATTAATTAATGCGAAGCAGCGTTGTACTAACATCTGCCAATGAAAAAGCATAAATTATTATCCTTTATCCATCACTTTTTTCTTAGTTAACCTTTTTTAAAATCCTCGTTTCATCCGTTTCGTGCAGAAAATTGTTTTTGAGTTAAAATCTTGAAAATATTTTATAGAACAACTTTAAGCAATTATTTGCAATAATTTTTATGTTTCATTTTATTTTTCCGAAAAAACTACTTTTTTTAATTTTTGAAGTATTAAATAACGACGACTGCAAATAATTGAACGTCATCAATACAGTTGCAAACATTTCAACATATCACACTGTATTCTCTCATATTTTTGAAATAAAGAAGTGGACGAATATGAAACATCTGAAATTTCCAATAAGTATTATAGAAAACATAGTAATTAATGTTATTTGAAGAAATTATAAGGATATTTTTCAAAACATCTCATAGCAAACAATAAATGAGTTCCTGAGAGTAAATTGCAGAATTTTTGTTTTAGACAATTTGGAATGCTAAAAATTTAAGATTAGTAATTTGATAGAAATGTATTTTTTTTAAAATGTAATCGTTGATTTGTTAGCTCTTAGATTTTCAGCGAAGGAATGAATTTTCCTTATTGACATCCCTGAATTTTTGATTTAAGTTAATATTGATTTGTATTATTGCTCAACATTATCGTATGAGTAGTAGTGATTCTGTATGCGTGACAGTCTTTGATCATTTAAACAGTTAATTGAAATCATTTTTGAATCATAATCATTTCATTCTAAAGAATTTTTCTGCCTTTGCATTCCATTAAAGAGTAGTTGCAGTGTAGTTAGTTTGAAATTTGAAATTATTTGAATTGCAATCTCACATATATGCTGAAGAAGAGTGACACGGGTACGAGGTACCACCGCTTGCTGGTCCATGTCCTCTCCACCCATCTATTGATAATCTGAATGGACGGATGCTCAGAACAGTGCAGGACAAGACATGTGCCACCACTGCTACCACCGTGTACCATCTCCTCACCCTCACCTCCTTATGTCCTCATCCATCTCAGTCTATCCCTCAACCTTATTATCATCATTATCTTCAGTTTGGTATCATTTGCTTCACTATTAAATTTGAATTAGTGTTATAAATTGAAGAAAGAGAGATGGAAGGGTCAAAATTTGTAAGATATTACAAAAAACAGGAATATGCAGGAATTTTAACTCTAATACTTACAAAGGAGTTGAAATGCTTTTTTAACTATCTTCCCACTCCTTTGCTATTTATATTTATGCTAATGGATTTAGGGCAATAAACCTAGCATGACCCTCACTCTTGTTAACATCATTTACAATCGCAGAGGTTAGAGGTTGAGGTTAAACGTGTGGAGAGAATTAGCTGTAGGTGCACATAGAATTGTTCCACGTCATAAAATAATCCAAAGAGAAAGAGAGAGAGAGAGAGGGGAAGAAGAGGGAGAAAGATGTGAACAAGAAGGGTCATCGTGAATGAGAACGACAGCTGGTACTGGTTACCACGCGATAACATACCCGCTCCTGCGATCCTCAGGGTCATTTTGCACTTTGCTTGTTCCACTAATTGTGCAGATTGTTCCCTCTTTTTCACCTCTAAGTTATCACAGTATTTCCTGTAATCGACGAAAGGTGAAATGGTGATCTGGTGGAAGGAGTGATCAGTTATTCCAACCTTTCCCGTCAATGGATTATCACGTTTTGGGTGAGAGTCCATAATACAACAGTTTTTGTTACACAACATTTCTGGTAAGAAATAATGACTGTTATAATGACCAGATTGATTCTGAAGAAAATAAATTTCCCAACACGATGCCCTTCATTTTTTAAAGCTTGATGTATTATTAAAGGAAATTTAGCTCTTTTGATAAAGAATTGCCATTTAAAGTTGAAAATATGGATAGTTGGAGAGTTCTAACAGGTACACAACAAGCAGTGTTAGCATGTTTCCTTCTCTTTCATCTCTTTTTTCCTTTTCATTTTTCAGTAAGTATAGCTTTTCTCCTATTTTCAACAAATTTGTATTGTATTGTTTTTTTTGTTCCATCTAATGGCCCTGTCAATTATAAAATTTAAATATGGTATGTTAGTATAAATATCTTTTATTACTATCCGTGCCTTGAAACCTGCTTTTTACATCTTTTATCATCAAGTTTGAGGTATGTTTTCTTCTTTTTCGTTATTGACAGCAATGTGAACTTACTTTCAACATTTTTTGAACGCAACAATAATTTCTTTACTGAACAGAGGTGTGCATTATCACACCTGTATGGTTTGCAATCAGGTAAACTTGCACAAATGTTAGAATTAATCAATCGCGAATAGTTCCCCGTTATTTAAAAGAGCGCTTATGGCATACAAGATGAGATGACCCCCCTGCCGAATAGTATCCATTGTGCAGCGTGCAACGGAACACCACTTTTATTCCGGTAAATCTGAAGTTGTAACAAAGAGAGTAGCAAAGAATTGGAGGGAGAGAGAGGGAGCAATCATCAACGCTGTGCTCGTTGTTTACACAAAGTCTCGAGATGGTCCCTGCCATTTGTCTATTTCCATTGCATTCACCACCCGGAATTCACGAATAGTGCCCGCCCATCACTACTCATTTACCGTTGTTGTTGTTGTTGTTGTTATCGTCTGCATGGCACGCAAGCAGCAGAGAGGAGGAGGAGAGGTGAGTGTGCGGGGGTGGGTGGACACAATCTGATGACGGCATGGTCTGCCGGCTGTTACCGCAGACATTCCTTCTCTCGCACTCACATTCATTCACTGCTCACTGCTCGCTTCCATCCGTCCATCCATCCTCCATTCATCCACTCATTCATTCATTCATTCATCCATTCATTTCTAATTTGCATAATCCAAATTGCTTTCATCCATCATCAAAGTATTTGTCCACTTTAGCAAGTCAGTGTCCGTTGCTTAGTGTTTGATCCACTAAAGTAGCCATGGTCAAAGGGTCTTATAGTTGTTGAGTTGTGGTCATTTGCACAATGATGAGGCGAAGTTACTGACAAGCTAACGTCCACTCCTAAGGAAACATTAAAAACAATACTGCAGGAAAGGATTCTAACTGTATAGCTTCCAGTGGTTTATATTTATATCAAATCTTTCGGCTTTCTTCTTGCTATCCTGCGGTCATCTTACTGTCCACTTCATTGATCCAAGGTTTCTTCCATCATTTTCGAGCCTTTTGATATCAACTTGTCAAAGTATGTTGTATTGTTTTCTCACCTGTCATCTTCATTACTGTCTTCAACAAATTTCTCCCCTTCCCTTGTTTTAAATGATTATTATAACGAGAAATGCTTAGATTTTCTTCAGGAAATGATCTCAAATTGCACATATATTTGGGTCATCGTAGGAAAATAACAAATGATGATTAGTTATTGATTTCATTATTTAAATGGATGTCCCAGGTGTATTGTAATCATCGTTAACGATATTAATTGTTTTTATTAAATTAATTTATGAGGTGAATCACTCAGTAGGCATTGCTAGAAATGAAATTTGAAACCGGAACTAATTCATGGTTCCTCGAATTCCTTCATGTTCAGTGGAATGCTGCTGTAAAATTACCAATAACATGTTTGCCTTATTTTTTTTCCATTTGATTACTATTTCATACAAAATATTTTACGAAGGTAGCGGGAAGTTGTTTCGCTATTTTTTTAGCCATTAAATTCGTTTTGCAATTTTCAAGAAAATAGCAGTTCATGGAATTTATAATAACGAAATAATTTCTAAACGTCTTATTCGCTCTATACTTATTTGATTAGTTTTAGCAGTGTTTTTGCACTTTTTGCAAACTGCAAACTGTTGTTTACTCAGTTAATCAGTAATTTTTGTTATTTTTTTGATTCTTTTCATTTGTTCATCATTTCTAAAGTACTAAATTGTCCATTCCTGTCCGGTGACATAAAGCAGTCCGATATTATTGACGCTATTTGCTTGCTACCATTTTAATTTTTTTAAAAGTTCTTTTAAATGCTGAGAAATCACATGCATATACTTTGCATATGAAAATTTGCTTGCACTGAGTAAATTTTACTTCTAAACATTCAATTGTTAGTTTTACTTTGCTATTTATTTTCTGCTAAAAAAAAGATGTATGACGGTATCAGAAATATGACTTTTTTTAATTTACGCTAATTTTACACTTTTTCAGAGGATCCAAGGCAGGAGCCTGTTGGGTATCCAGGCCTATCAACAGAGCAGCAATATGATATAAGGTATAGAGCAATGTAGAGATCGGGTAGCTGAAATTTCCCAGTTTGTGGCACCGGTGGCTGTTTCAAAAGGTTATTGCATATTATTAATCGTAATTTATCTCGCTTTCTCGAAAATTCGATTCATATTTGATGTAAACAATTATTGAGTTTCTATTAACACTTTGAATGTTTTCAAATTAGGGATTAAGATTTTTGATCAGTTCTTGATAGGGAAACTGATTTTTCTGCTTGTTAATAATTCATTTTTATTGATTTTAGTGATCGCTAATATTCATAGATGTTTTCAGTTTTGAAGCAGTTGACTGTAAATTATGATTAAAATCAGTAGATTAGATATTTTTTTACTTTCAAATGATAAATTCTATCTCAACAGAATTTAAATTCTATCTTCTAATATACACTGACATTCTTTTGCTGATTTTAGAACCTTACTAGTTGGTGATGAGATATCAAGCAAAAAATTTAAAAAGTGCTAAAAAAGTTAAATGAATTCAAGTTTTTTTTCAAACTTCTAGAAAAATTTTAATACTTTCCCACTTCTAAAAATATTGAAATCCTTTGTAGAAAAGATTGGATTACGTCTTAGCTAAATCAATAAACGAAATTGAAGGAATTCTTTTTTGTATTATTCTTTTTTGAATTGTAACTAGTTGCACTTTCAACGTTTTGAAGTAACTTCCATATTTTCATATGACAAAAAAGTGCTTATTGAAGACTCTGATTTGATTTCAGGTTCCTTCCCAAACTTTGTGGTAATCTTGTGCCTCCAGGTCCTGCTAATCACCAAGACCGAGAAACAAGGATGTTGATATCAATATGGGTAATTGATGCAAAAGCGGATGTCGATACGCACACACAGTAGAATTTTGCAGGAATTTTAGATTGTTACTTGGCCGAAATGATTTGTTTTTCATCCAATTCGAATTTAATTTTCCACCATAAAGATATTAAACTCTTTGTAATTCAGTAAGTCTTTTAGTTTTTGCTAAATTTTTAAGGATGGTGATAGCGGTATATCCGTATAGGCACATGATGTTCCTCTCAATATAACAGTAGTAGTAATCCTCAGATATATGGTGGTTTTTTATTGTTTATTTTTATAACTAGTTTTGCAGGGAGAGTTAGGTGTGACATAAAATAAAAATGCAATTCCTATACATAATTCTAGGAATTTTATTAATGAAAATATCCAAATTTGTTTTCTAAAATTAAAATATTCTAAAAGTAAGTGTTGAATGTATTTTTAATTTTAAAACATCTTTCTGAAGCTATTTTTATCGATCCTTTCTCTTCCTGCAACTTATTCTTGAATATTAAAGAATGGGCGATCTTTTTTTCTTTCGTTTTGTTTACCACTGAAGAAGTAGGTGCTGAGTATATTTCTAGTATTAAAATGGATAATGTGTACCTTAATTTTGTTTGTCTTTGCTACAATTTCAAAATAATATCCACTACTTGATTTTTTTATTAATCATTTTATTAACTGAGATTTAGGAAAGAAAATTGAAATATGCAAATTATTATGTATGTTCCTTTTGGTTGTCTTTCAATGTATATGTCTTTCAGCTTCATGTTTTTAAAGATACTTTTACTTCCGACCGTTGTATTTCCATTTTTTCATATTCTCGTTACAGACTAGCCGCTTACACTCGTTTACTCCTTTCTTTTCCCTATTTTATACTTTTTTTTTATTATTTCTATTTTTTTCTAAGCTTAAGCAGAAATTGATTGGCCGTTCATCCACCAGTGTAAACGGGTTCACGTAAGGTGGTCCTGGAGAGGTGCGTTGCTGTCCGGAGAATTTAGAGAATTATTTTTTTAGAAATAAGAATATTTGATATCACAGAATAGTTCGGTTTTAATAGTAATTTCTAGCATGTTCTGCAAAATTCTTCTATGCAACAGCGTAAAGTTCCAGAAAAATATTCAGCAAAGTTCTTTCCAGTGAACTTTGTAGTAATAAATTTCTGGGACAACACAAATCTAGGACCTAGGTGGGGTGGCCGGCCATTCGATTGGCACCTTTTAAATTCTCTTAAACACTCTTTCGTCATCTCCCATAATTATATTGATATTGTGCTCTGGTAGTATCTTATTAATTGGCCAAACTTTTTTACAATTATTTATTTTTTTGTAGTGCATTCTTCCATATTCCTATAAAATTTGTTGTATGGGCGTTGGTAAATAATCTTTTCTGCTATTTTACAATATTTGAGAGAAAAAATTGATCATTGAAAAATTATTCCAAAATTGATGCATTTATCAAAGTCTCTGCTTAGTACAAAGGTTTGGCTAGCAGTTCTTTATTGCTTCTTTTAAATTTTAGACGAAAAAGTGCACTTGTGCGTTTGCTTTTTTTGCACTTCACGATTTGTAGTACAATTATGGTGCATGCATAACGAAGTTAGATACTTCCTGATGCTTTTTTTTCCTTAAAGCGATATTCTTATATATACCAAGCATCACCAAGCATCATCAGTTCATTTTTTTCTTAAAACTTTTAAAATGCTTCTAGAGAAATTCTCTGACAAAACTTGAGGTTTGTGGAAAAAAAGCACGGCTATGAACTGTTTACTCAGGTGACACTTGCACTATTTTCTCTGTCTTCTCGAACTTTTGCAGCAGTTTCCAAATTTGCTTCCATTAAATCATTTTTTCATCTACCAATCAGCAATCACTGCCACAGGTTTCTGTACATTATTGCTTTCATAAATTAACTCTGCATCTTTCTTATTTGATTGAATTATTATTACGTCGGGATTTACAGTAAAGATTTGTGTTGTTTATCTGGAAATGATTTTCGAGGTTTGCAACAATTTCGTCTGGTAACGATGCATAACAGAATGTGTTAATATGGGAATTGAAGTGAGCACGGATCCCTAGCAAATTAGCAGCAGAAGTAAATGCTAATGGAAAGTTCTTAAAAAATTCCGTCTTAGTATTTACGCAATTCAAATCAGAATACTTCCGTTTTCTGAGAAAAGCACTCGTTAAACTGTTCCGATTTCGTTGTCGTGCAAATTTAACAATATCATAAACTCCATTTTATGACGAGGATTAGTCACTTTTGGAAAGATAAGAATACAAAATGTCACGCCTGAAGTTTTTTTTCTAAATTTCTATCATTCATATTACATTTCCATCGCAGTCAGCTGTTATTCAGGATTCATTGCTTCGTACATTACAATACATTTTAACATTTTCCAGTACTTTTAATATAGATTAATCTATGGTATGCTAAAATATGAATAACATTCAGTTGCGAGCCTATGTATGTATGAACCTTTCCTAAATCCAAGAAATCTTATTGCTCCGAATTTCTGTTCCATTATGCAAAGTTGAACACGGCATTCCATTGCAGTGGCTCATTACAAGCTATTGTAATATACGTGGGCAACAAGTTTCGAGAGCACTGAACCCTTCATTTGGAAATCCATCAGAGGACAGTTTAGCAAAGTAGATAACATTTCTAAAATAAGGGAGAACACTTCTAACATACCCCACCTTCGAAGCGAAACAATGTAAGCAGAAATAACAATTATAAACAAATCATAAAACTGCAAGAACCAATAAATGTAGAAACAACCAGGTTTAAAATCAAAAAATTCCTTTGTCTCTTACCGTTTCGACAGGAGTTCAACTAATGTGAAATGTTAAGTCTCCATATCTCGCTGCACGCTATAGTGTATTTGTTTTAGTACATCGAAATTTTGTGACAAAGAAGCTGTTAGCAAAAAGGCGGAACCCGTACAAATCAACCGTGAGTCGGAAACTAGTTTGCAAATAACTTCATAAAACATGTTTCGCGTACATAGAGTATATGAAGAATTGGCTTCAAAATTTTTGAACCATAAATCTTTTTGGAAGAAAACAAGATTGGTGTTTTAAGCATTACTTATCACGTAATATTCAGAATGGTAAAATTGAAATCAAGTAAGACATTTCGAAATCCTTATTCCTAAACAATAATAATCATGAATAATTGGCATAATCTCCATAATCTTCTCTAGAATTCATTTTCAGTTTTATTAAATAATATCAGTTTCCGAAACAGAGCCTTCTTTTATGCTAAAAGTCACTAATGGAAAAAAGCATATTTTTCGGTGAGGACTTAAATGGCAATTCATAAAAATAAAAGAGCTGAATAGAATAACGCACATAAAGAAAGACTTGCCGAATTTCAGTCGTAGAAAAATCGATACAAAATTTCAGGATATTTTAAATGTTCATGTAATAAACAAGCAACAAACTATGCAATCTGCACTACAATGAATAAAGTCATAAAAGTTTCAATTCGCCAGTAACTAAATCAACTAAATGAGTTGGGCCAAAAATGCCAAGAACAGTTCTTGAGCCAGCAGGAATCTGTGTGCGTCCAGCATCGGACACAATATAAGCAAATAAACTCTGAAAATGTAACAGCATTGAATTTTGTGGCGAACTGAAAGCGATATATGAAAAGTAAATGTATCTACTTAAAAAATTACGCAGAACAAACAGTAAATAAAGTCAATATATCTCAAATTTCATTTTGTATACTTTCCAACTAGACCATCTGACACGGAGTCATTACCGTGTTACTCGACGTATTAATATCATGCTCTGAATAAAACTGCAATTCTCATGCGCACAAATTGGCGGCATTCAATGCTGAAGCATGTTTTCTTTATGTGTGACAAATTCAAAAGTTTAGTAGCAACTGAAAAAATTAAAACATTTCAGCATTTTCTCCATATTCTTCATTTTCAGCAAATTTCAGATAGTAAAAAGTTTAAAGTTACCAAGTCTTTTGCTTGTTTGAAAAAATCGAGAAGCATTTCCGTGTTATGACCTTTAACAACTACTTTCATTTCTCCTGATATTCTCCAAGCATCTAATGCGCGTTGTCCCTGAATTGCATAATTTAAATTTCGATAAAAGTAGTGAAATCTAAAAAATATAATAAACAGCTTCCAGAAATTTTTTTGACACGATCCGTTGAAAATATATATATAT